TATTGCTATTGGACGCTTGGATAAGGCAACTTTTGCCGCGATACTCGCTATAAATATAGCGAGTTTTGCTATGACAAGAAAATTTTAAAATGATTTTAAAAGGGTATATAGCATGTTTTTTAAAAAAATTATGATTGAATGTGTTGAAATTTATAAAAATAATGTATTCCAATATCTAACTAAAATTTTGTAAAAAGTGGATAAGGCGAGTTTTGCTACTACACGCCTCAAATATAAATAACAGTTCAAAATAAAACTATGAATAAAAAAACTATAAACAAAAAAAAATTAACTAACTGCTAACTTTTAACTACAAATAGACCAGAATAATATTTAAAGAAATAAAGAAAATATTCCAAAATAATATTTTTCGAAAACTGCTATTAAAAGTTGACTTTTGCGTAGTACTTAGCGACCGTCAAAACGATAGTTTTTTGTCAACAGACGTCCAGCTACGACAATCAAAGAATTTGATACTATTAATTGTTAATTTATTGTTATGAACAAATTGTAAACACAAAATAATCAACATTTAATTGTTTTATCATTTAATTTCATTTTTAAATGCGAATTTATAATAGTACATTTGTTCAATATGTGAGGTTAAATCGATGTGACGTTAAGTTTTTGACATAACATTAAATGAATTCTAAATGTCATTATCCTGAATTTGGTCTTTTTATTAATTTATAACTTTAGAATATGCAGTTTTCGAAAAAATGTTGTTTGATACACGACAGCGAAATTCTTTTGCATTCTCGAACGATTTTTTTTGCTCGCTAAAGCTCGCAAAAAAAACTTTGGTTCTCGAATGCAAAAGTGTCATTTCGCTATCTTGTATCAAAAATAACTATTTAATACATATTAGGATCTATTCATAGTGGGAGCGCCCAGCGTCGCGTTTGCGTCGCGTCGTGTTTGCATCTCGCTATGGAAACGCAACGCAAAACGACGCAAAACGTTTCGCAAAACATAGTTTCCATAGCGAGACGCGACTCACGACGCGACGCTGGACGCTCCCACTATGAATAAACCCTTATACCATTTGCTTATTGATATATATCCTAACCATAAGTTTCAAATGCTTTTCATCTNACGCGATAGCATGAACACAAATTTTACGGCACTATTTACGTTACACTAGGCTGCGTATGGGTGCGTCTTTGTCGAGATGCAACTAAGTCGCGCACAGCCGCGACAATGTCTTTGTCGCAGTTACTATGAACACTACATGCATTTTATACTGAATGCGACTTCTTTGCGTCTTTGTCGCCGCGACTTTGTCGACACTATGTACCTAGCTTTATACCATTTGCTTATTGATATATATCCTAACCATAAGTTTCAAATGCTTTTCATCTGGTTCAAAATTCGTACAGTTTTTGTTGTCACCTGAAAATTTTGACCGTACAAGGCATACGGCACTTAAGGAATCTTGCCCTATTTTATTGCGTTTTTTTGTTTTAACGTCATTAACTATTGAAAATACCCTTTCAGCCTCCGCATTTGAATGAGGTAATGTTAAGATACATAAGTAACGCTAATTTTGAAATATTTTCAAATATAAATACCCTAGAAAAATCTTTAATTTTCTTTAATTCTAGCCAGAACTCAACACATGGCAGTTGTTGTAGATTCAGCTTTTCATTATCATCAAAATGAAATGGCAAAGACCGCCATTCTAAAATTACTTTATTCATATCAATCATATTTTTATAAATATCTGTTACTATGGAGAGAGTATTTAAAGAGTCTCTTTTACTTAATGTTAACGCTGTTTTTGGCGTAATAAATTCAAATTCACTAAATAATTTATTAGAAAGTGGCAACCTTGACAACATTTCCTTAGAAACAGTAATATAAAAATTTAAAATATTTTCTCTACATTCTCTTTTGTCTTCAATGCTTAATGTGTCAAATAAAGCTTGACACTTATAGCCTGTGTATATTTGTTCTTGTGGTAAAAAATTACTAGAGTCAAGTATATTATGTTCTAAATATTCTTCTTTTAAAACGGCTGTTTTTAAAAAATTTTGCCCTATCTGTAAAAATAATTTGATACTCTCTTTTTTTAAAACATTAATCAATGATAATTTCGATTGAAATAATGCATTAAATTGGTTCAGAAAATTGAGTGAATATTTAAGAAACATGAAATAGCATTTAATTTTTTTTTTTTTAATTTTCTAATATAAATGTAGCGGATTTAAGATTGTGCTCATATACAGCAATGTCAAAAAAGGCAATTAGGACATCCCAATTTAGTGGCAGTCTTTCAATGCAGGCATGTCTGGATAACCACCGTGTTCCTGCTAATTTCAAAATGTTATAATGTTGGACATGAAAATATGATTGCATTTCCTTTAATTGGTCGC